TGGTAACAGGGTGAAGCCTGGAGCTGCAGGCATCATTCCGGTATAACCACTTGAAGTCCAGTGACGTATGGGTAGGTCACTGGTCCTCAAGAGGTCAAAGTGCACATTTAGGACAGTTATCCTTTAGAAGAGTTTAACCACTTCCATACTGGGCACTTTTACCCCCTTCATGCCCAGGCCATTTTTCAGGTTTCAGCGCTCTCACACTTTGAATGACAATGGCGCGGTCATACAACATTGTACCCAAACTAAAATTTTATCATTTTCTTCACACAACCAGTTCTTTCTTTTGGTGGTATTTAATCACCACTGGGGTTTTAATTTTTTGCTAAATTAAAAAAAACAAAAATTTGGAAAAAACAAACAAACAAAAAACACGTTTTTCTTGGTTTCTGTTATAAAAGTTTGCAAATAAATAATTGTTCTTCATAAATTTAGGCCGAGATGTATTCTACTACGTCTTTGGTGAAAATAACCCAAATTAGGATGTATTTTTTTAGTTTGTAGGAAAGTTATAGAGTTCACAAACTATGGTATAGATCTGAATATTGATCAATCCTGAAGTACTGACAGCCAATCTAATTTCTTGAGGTCCAAGAATGTCAGAACAGTACAGATATCCCCCAAATGACCACTTTTTGCAACGTAGACAGTCCGACGTACTTCATAAGAGGCATGGCGAGTTTTTTGAAGTTGTATTTTTTTTGTCATAATTTTTCGGAGAATGAAAAAATTGAAAAAAAATAATTTTCACTATTTTTTTTTTTTTAACATACTGTCACCAGTGCAGTACAGCGTCATCATATAACTGGCATGGCGGTGATAAGGGACACTGGTGACAGTATGAAAAAAAATAATTTTTTTTATTTTTTTGTATTATTTTTAATTTTTTTATTATTTTTTTTTTTAAGATTTTTTTTTTAAGATTTCACTATGACCAAAGTAGTACAATGTTACCATAATAACATTGTACTACTTTGGGGAAGTGATCAGTATTTTTTTTTTTTTACACAATTTGCTTATAGCAAAGAATTACTTGGTATAAGCAAGCATTTACCTGAATGACATTGATTCATTCAGGGCTTTTTTTTTTTTCGTGCTTAGCTGTGATTTGGCCACGGCTAATCACATGACACAGCTGGGCTGTGATTGGCCCAGCTTGTGCATGTGATCACTGTGACCATTCACAGCTAAACACACTAGTATACAATGGATGGCATGAATGAAGCCATCCATTGTATACAACTGTCATGTGACCTGTTGTGATTGGTCACAGCAGGTCACATGGTACCGGCAACGGGGCCGGTACTCAGATCTGTCATCGGCTGTGTCCGAGGTACACGGCCGGTGACAGATCGCGCCGCTGCGCGGCTCTGCAGGCGCGCAAACAGCGCATGCCCGGGAGGACGCCATATGGCGTCCACCCGGAACGCTGAGGGATTTTGCCCGCCACCATCTGGCCATAGGCTGGGCGGGTAATGGTTAAGCTCTTATACTTGTAGCAAACCCATCAGTAAATAGGGTTGTTTAGGGTTAGCAACAAAAGGACAACAATGCCAAAGTGGCAATTTTGAAATGTTACATCACGTTTTTTGGTACTACAACAGTTTTGGAATGCAGTATTTAAGATGACAGCCAAGATAACAGGATTTATCATTTATGCTTCACCTATACTAGCTTCAACATATTACTATGAAAATGTGGGTTGTAGTGATAACACACACTTATTGTGGCTAGATTTTCCATAAGAAGTGCAGAAGAGTAACAGTTCCATGCTCACAGTAAATCCTAAGTCTTGAGTGCCAACCAAGAAGAGCTTGTCCATGCGCCATGGAATTGATATGTATGAGAAAGCAGCAGCACTCTAATGACATCATGTTTTTCAGCTTTATTAGAAGCAGACAGTCAAGGTTGGCTCAGAGACCAGCTCCCGCTGACCAGCAATATAAGTATGCAAGCAGGTTACTATGGTGGATGACAAGGGTCCACCTGAGGTACGGAGTCTAAGAACTAACTGCTGTTCACTAGAGCTCTTGATGGTGGAGATGGGTTTTGCTAACATAGCAGATATAGCAAGAAGGGATCAAGCAGAAACATAGTTGGTAAAAAAGCCAAAAGATCAGTAAAAAGTGGTTGCAGTTTGAGATCAAGTAAAAGCATCATCGTGGAATAGGCCAAAGATTGGAGTGGCAGTGGAGAAACAGATAGCAGCAGGAGTGGGATATTGGCTGGAGAGAGCACAATAATCTGGCAAACAGCAAGGGAAAAAGGTATGGCTCAAACAGGAAGTTCATGGGAGGAGCAGAGATCAAAGTTCACATGAAATAAGGTACAAGGCAAGATCAGATAGTGAGCTGTCCATCATCTCAGGTTCCTCAGCAAGAAGAGACCTCGCCAGACACAACAGAAGCCTGTGGTCTGAAAATGCTTTCTTTATATAGATTTTCCATTACTTGGGAAAGGAAAACCATAAAAGATCCTCTCTTGTCAGAGAGAGTTGAAAAAAAAAAGAAAAAAGTAAAAAAAAAAAGAAAGAAAAAGATTGCCCATAATGAGACATTTTTTACCAACAAACAGGATACTTGGTCAATAATTCCAACTTTGAAGTTTACATATCATGAGGTTGTCATTATTCTTGCTTGGACACAGAGCTGGGTTTATGTTATTATAGCTTTCAATTATGTTTTTCTTTTTTGTTAAAGGGAGACTGAACTCTGAAAGCTGTGCCACAAAAGGCAAGCAGAGAACAAAGGACTGGCCACCAGTATTGCCTGTGACTTCCCTGCAGCTGATCTTTCACCTACTACTGACTTAGCATGCCTTGATCTGCACTGTATCTCTGTGAGGGGGGGAAGCCATCTTGGTAGAGGCACGGATTTGCTTCTTCACAGCACACAGAACACTGAGTGCTACAGCAGTGAAAACACCAAATCTCATTTCACATCATCTGAGTCTAGCTGTTGGCGATATCAGTGCCTTAGTCCTCACACTGCAGATATACCGCTATGTGGATGTAGGCACCCTCACATAGCTGGAAGTGCACTGCTATTTTTCAGGAGGATTTCCAGACAAAAAGACATTTTTCAGGGCAGAATTAATTGATCACCATAACATAGATAATATTCAATTATTGGAGTTCAGTTCCACTTTAAAGGTTGTAGCTAGCTTGGCTTTTTTTCTTTATTTAAACAGTCAACATACCAATCTACATACATACTGTTACAGATTTTGTTTGCAAGACAGTCATAAAATGATGGTTTGCATTGCAGACTATACATTAGGCATCTGTTACTCTTTTTCCTATTAACTGACCGGTTCTTTGCCACATCATGCATATTAGAAAACATATGGTATAGATTACTTTATATACACTGATACCATTGCAGTCTATGACTGTACATGCCAAAAGACTTAATAAAAATCACCTGAAAAGAAGTACAGACAACACCCACATATACATGTCCTTTAATTGAGGCTGAATGATTCTTGAGAAACAATGGACCTGAACACAACATACTAAAAACATGGTCACATATTAAATAATTTTAACCACAGAAAACTGAATTTGGTGGTACCCGATGAAACAAACATGGTGTGAGCTTGCCTGCCTATTTTGAAAGGAAACCTGCCCTGATAATAATACACAAGTTGCCTTTGATAACCTCCTTCTGAAAATGATAGTTACTTTTGCCAACCCAATGGCATTACTACTTTTTGAGTTACTAACCTGAAACAAGTAATACGCTGGTCAGCGTTTCAGATTTTACTTGCTGCACACTTGTTTTGGGCCAATGACTCCAAAAGTACTGAATTAGATGAAAAAGCAATACAGCCAGGTAACTAGCATTTTCCAAAGGATGGTGACCTTTGTATTTCTCTCAGCTCTCCTTTCTGCTCTACCCCTGCCACTGCCTCCCTCTGCTTTTGCTTTCAATTCAGCTTTCAAAATGAAAAACAGGCTTTAAACAGAACGTAGCTATAAAGAGTATTTGTAAACACTGTTTAGAAGTGTAATTTGCATAAACCTGGCCCCTCCGTGGGCAACTTCTAGTTGTTTCCTTTGCTGAACTCACTATAGAAATATTGAAACAAAAGCATATTTCAGAAATGCAATGCAACAGGCAGAGGACAAAATTATGTGAAGCTCTGGGTTTAAACCGCCTGTCTCTGATCGCGTTCACATTTACAGTATATGTTGCCTTTTAATTTTTTTCTAAGACCACCAATACAACCCCTGCATGGGTGTGATGTTATCTTTTACTTAGCTTGGCTTCTTTAACCACTCTGTACCCATCAGTTTCAGACAGTGTGACTTTTACAACTACAATAAAGTTTCTTTTGGTACCAGAAATGCAATGTAATTTTGTTGTTATATTACATTTACTCTCTATCACTCTTACAGTGGGTATAGAAAAGTATCACCCCCCTTTAAAATAATCACATTTTGTTGCTTTACAGCCTGAAATGAAGACAGACACAGTTTATGTTTTATCCAGCAAGTGAAGGATATAACACCAACATGTCAGAAAAAAATCAAATAAAAAAACAGAATCAATGAGTTGGAAAAAGGATCACCCCCCTCCCCTCCTAAAAATGACTTGTAAACTCAATTAGGAATAGCTAATCACCTTCTCAGTGGCACACACAGCTATTTGATTTTCAATTGTGATTAGCTGTGGTCATTTTGATTAGCTCAGCATGAAAACAGCTTTCCTGGAGCATTTCAGTCTCTGGTAATGCAACTGAAGCAAACAATCAACTATGGGTGGCAAGGCACTGTCAGAAGATCTCCAGGATAAAATTGTGGACAAATAAAAGTCAGGAGATGGATACAAAAACATTTCAAAGGCTTTATCAAGTAAAATCTATTAATAAGAAGAAGTACCGTATATACTCGAGTATAAGCCGACCCGAATATAAGCCGAGGTACCTAATTTTACCACAAAAAACTGGAAAAAACTATTGACTCGAGTATAAGCCGAGGGTGGGAAATGAGGCACCCCATTATTGGTGTCAGTGGAATAGTGCCCCATCTTTGGTGTCAGTGGGAGGAATAGTGTCCCATCATTGGTGTCAGTGGGAGGAATAATATCCCATCATTGGTGTCAGTGGGGGGGTGGAGGAATAGTGCCCCATCGTTGGTGTCAGTGGGGGGGGGGAGAAAAGTGCCCCATCGTTGGTGTCAGTGGGGGGGAGGAATAGTATCCCATGATTGGTGTCAGTGGGGGGTGGAATAGTGCTCCATGATTGGTGTCAGTGGGGGGTGGAATAGTGCCCCATCATTGGTGTCAGTGGGAGGGAGGAGGAATAGTGCCCAATCGTTGGTGTCAGTGGGGGGGAGGAAAAGTGCCCCATCGTTGGTGTCAGTGGGAGTAATAATGCCCCATCATTGGTATCAGTGACACCAATGATGGGGCACTATTCCCCCCACTGACACTTGCTGACCCCTGTTCCAGTATGGTGCTGCTGCAGCCAGCATATGTGGTTGCAGCAGCACCTAAGCACAGCACACTTACCTGCATCTCCTTCACTCGATTTTCGCGGGGCCGCTCAGCTCCGCCTCCTCGCCGGTGATTGGCCGCCTGTGTGTCTTTCCTGAGCTACAGTTCTGGCGGCCAATCACCGGTGAGAAGGCGGAGCCGAGCAGCCGCGCGAACATCCAGTGGACGAACCGAATGAAGGAGCAGCCGCGCTTCCTGGACCGGATCATTGTGGGACCGGAGCCAGGTAAGAGACAGCAGCCCCCTTCCCACCCCTGTACTTAGTTTCCCTTCTGTTCTGTCCCCCTGCTAGACATCTGCAGACGTTGACTTGAGTATAAGCCGAGGGGGCCGTTTTTCAGCACAAAAAATGTGCTGAAAAACTCGGCTTATACTCGAGTATATACGGTATTTGGTACAACACAGATCCTCCCTGGATCGGGATGTCACAAGAGCCAGGAGGAAACTGGTCAGAGAGGCTACCAAGAGGCATACAGCAACTAAGAAGCAGTTGCAGGAAGTTATGACAAACAGTAGTCATGGTGTGCATGTAACAACAGTATCAGAAATTCTCCACAAATGTGGCTTGTATGGGAGGGTTGCACGAAAAAAAAGCACTCTGCAAGAAAAGCCACATGAAGTCACGACAGAGCTTTGCCAAAACACACCTTGAAGATTCTGAAGCCACATGGAAAAAGGTGTTATGGTCAGATGAGACTAAAATTGAATTATTTGGCCTCAACACTAAACCATATGTCTGGCGGAAATCCAATACAGCTCACCATCCATATAACACCATTCCTACAGTAAAGCATGGAGGCCGTAATATCCTGGCATGGGGTGTTTCTCAGGAGCAGGGACTGCAACACTTGTCAGGATAGAAGGAAAACTGGATGGAGCAAAATACCATCAGATTCTTGAGGAAAATCTGCTGCCCTTTGCCAGAAAGTTGTCAATAAGAAGAAGGATAACATTCCAATATGACAATGACACAAAGCACAAATTACCACACAGTGGTTGAAGGAGAAAAAAGTGAGTGGGGAGAGGAATAGTGCCCCATCGTTGGTGTCAGTGGGGGGTGGAATAGTGCCCCATCGTTGGTGTCAGTGGGAGGAATAGTGCCCCATCATTGGTGTCAGTGGGTGGAATAGTGCCCCATCATTGGTGTCACTGATACTAATGATGGGGCACTATTCCTCCCACTGACACCAATGACACTTGCTGACCCCTGTTCCAGTATGGTGCTGCTGCAGCCAGCATATGTGGTTTCAGCAGCACCTCTGCACTGCACACTTACCGCCTCCCTCACTCGATTTTCGCGGGTCCGCTCGGCTCCACCCCCTCGCCCGTGATTGGCCGCCTGTGTGCCTTTCCTGAGCTACAGTTCTGGCGGCCAATCACCGGTGAGGAGGCGGGGCCGAGCGGCAGGAGTGAGGGAGTGGCCGGAGTGACTGAAGGAGCCGCGCTTCCTGGACTGGATCGTCGTGGGAGCCAGGTAAGAGACAGCAGCCCTCTGCCCACCCCTGTACTTAGTGTCCCTTCCGTCGGAAGGGGGGGATGGCGGCGGCACCGCGCCTCCCCCCTAAAAAGTGCCGTCCTGACGTATACCGGTGTATAAGACGACCGACTTTTGAGAAGATTTTCAAGGGTCAAAAAGTCGTCTTATAGGCCGGAAAATACGGTATTACTTTATTATGTTATATAATGACAAAATTATTTCCAAATAAACAACCCCATAATAGAAATTTAAAAATTGCTCTGGTCCATAAGGGGTATACAGGCGTAAGAACTGGAGTGTTTATGGTTAAAGTTGAACTTTAACCAAAAAAAAAATAATAGACAGGAAAGAATTTTAATGCAGAAGCAACATGCTTGGTTTCCTCTGCATTACCTGCCTGTCCACCCCTGTACAGTGAGCCCCGCATGCGCAGCTCAATGTACAAATTCAGCAATGCCGAATCCGACAGAATTCCCAGTGAAATCATCTCAGCCCCGCCAATGACAGCACTGGCGATTGAGACTCGAAGGTGTCAGAGGCCGAGTGAGTAGCAGAGGGATGCTGTATCGCTGGAACTGAGGTGAGTATAGTTCCGCTTTAAAAGTCCCAATTTTCAGGTTCGCTTGAAGTGTAGGAAAATTTTGACTGGCAGAATAGGGTGCAAAAATAGTCACACTTGTCTCACTTGATACTACAGAATACTATTTGGTTGAGTTTTTAAACCTTATAGTGGTCTACTTGTAAACCCAAAAGGTTTTATTTGTTCTGTTATTTCTTAGGCCTCATTCACACAGGGCGTTTTTGCAGCCACTTTTAGGTGCGTCAGGCATTTTTTTCATTACTGCTTCGAAATGCCCCTCCATGTTATCATATGTGTCCATGCACACATTGGGATTGATTTAGTAAAGGCAAATAGTCTGTGCACTGCAAGTGCAGTTGCTCTAGTTCTGAGGGGAAGCTGTGAAATGAAGGGAAACTTTGCTGATTTCTATCATCCAATTATGTGCCATCAAAAATGCTGTTTTTCATTTTTCTTCCATGTGATTGGGTATTTTTTGGCAAATGAAGCTTTACCTCATTTACTAAGCTCTGAAGAAACTGCACTTGCAATGAACAGTATATTTGCGTTTAGCAAATCAACCCCATAGAATTTTAGAAGCTTTTAATGGCAAGGGCTTTGAGAAGCAGGAAAGAAACCCCACTGCCAGTGCATCCAGGAGCAGCGGAGTTTGGGCAGAATAATGCTTGGCACTACTAAAATCTTCTAATCGAGCCTAAACACTAGGCGCCTTTAGAGCTTGAGCATGAATTAATTTCAATAGCCAGAATATATTATTTATTCTGGCCGATTAAATGAATTAATGCCCAACAGCTTGACGCCTGTAAAAGCTCCTAAAAGCTTGTTAAAGCTATAGACACTTTTACAAGCGTTAAGCATTTTTTCTGCAAAAACGCTGCTAGCGTCTAGGAGGATTAAATAAATGTCCTGTGTGCATGAGACCTTAGGAGGAGAGTGACATGCTTCATCATTAAGGCCATTTTTATAGACCAGTGGTTATACTGGGGAGGCAGATACTGAGAGTCTGAGAACCGAAGTGAAGCAAATAATTTACCTTTTAGTTTACTTTCATGGCCTAAAAGACAGACACTCTCCAGGGAATAATGTGACATCTCCGTTTTGGTAACAAAAGCGTACAGGCACGCTGGGACTTTGCTGGGAGTGAACTATAACTGTACTAAAAAGTCTTCTGAGATCTCCTTAGAGCCTTTTCTCATCTGCGCAGAGTGGACTAAAACACTGCAGCAAGTGGGATGGATGGGAAGTGTTTCTAAAGAAGTCAGTGGAGGGGAAAATTTCAGCTCAATAGCTCACCATCCTGCTCTTTATTAGTCCTCTCTGCAGGGCACAGTGACAGAAGACTGTCATCTCTCTCAGTCTCCAACACTGAGAGGGGGGAGAGGTTACAGATATCATCATGGTAGCCTTTTAATGTTAGAATGTCTTATGTCTACTTGCAGTGAGGGAAGAAGAAAAACCTGGTTCTGGTTACCCGATATAAACCTTCTCAGATAAATCTTAATCAAATGGTATCCTTACAATTATAATTAACATGGGCATAATATAAAAGTGGATACTGTTCACTGGAATGAATGTCCGTTAAATAAATAAATAAAACCACAGGGAAAAAAAAAAAAACGTTAGCGGATATAAAATGAAGGCACTAGGATTTACCTGCAGCAGCTTTATCTGGTTCATGAATGCCCAACAGTCAGGATGTTCTGAACAAGCTCTAATACTTTGTGGTAGTGTTGACTCTTGCCCTCCCCCACACACTCCTATTGGCCCAGCACTTTGATGGGCTGCTGAACTGGGCAAGGTGTCACAAACTGACAGAGTGGTCAAAAAGGCTCAGAAATTGGGCATACAGGAAGCTATTAACCACTTCATGTCCGGACATTTTCACCCCCTTCCAGTCCAGGCCAATTTTCAGCTTTCAGTGCTATCACACTTTGAATGACAATTGCGCAGTCATGCAACAGTGTACCCATAGCATTTTTTTGAGACAGATAAAACTTTATTTTGGTGGTATTTATTCACCACTGGGATTTTTATTTTTTTTGCTATATAAATGAAAAAGTCCAAATTATGTTTTATACAATTTTGCAAATAAAAATATATTTCTTCATAAATCTTGGTCAAAATGTATTCAGTTAACTTTTTAAAAAAAGAAATAAACCACATTAGTTTATAACCAAAAATTATAATTTGTCAACATCTTTATATTATAATTTATGCTTTTTTTTTTTTTTTTTTTTACATACTGTCACCCTAGCAGTACAGTGTCACCATAGTGACACTGTACTACTTTTGGGGGGTGATGAAGATTCTTTTTTTTTACACTGATTACTCTAACACCCATAAAGGCTGTAAAAGCAATCATTTCTCCTTCTCTCTGACTGCATTCTTGCAGCCATTGAGAAATACTGTGAGAGCTGTGATTGGTCACAGCATGTTACATGGTACAAGGCGGTTGTGAATAGCCTTGTACCATGTGACCTCTGTGATCATTCACAGATTTCACAAGTAGTAAGCAATGATATCAGGAAGTGACATCTTGCTTACTACTGTTCATGTGATCACTGATTGGCCAAATCACACACACAGCGATCGGTGTTCGGATACAGGGGCACTGGATTGCGGTGCCGCACGCTCCTAGGGAGTGCGCATAGGCTGTGAATGTGGGCGCCGTTTATAAACGGCAACCCACTCCTGCACTGCTCTCGTCCGGTCATTTATGTACATGGGGCCGGATGGGAAGTGGTTAAAGCTGTTGCACCATTGCAATATTGTGACCTGTACAATTTTCTGTATTTCACTTACTAATGTTCAATGTTGCTGCAACTTATTTATTTTTTTTTAGTAAATTCAATAACATTTTTACCTGTTAAAAAAAGCTGTTTTACCAGGATTCTTTTTTATTTTAGTAATGATTTGTTAGGGGATTTGCAGGTTTATGGTGTTTTAATGACAGAAAAAATGTAATAACAGTAACAATTCCCTGCCGAATCTGAGCCTGCACATAGTATATCAAAATGAAAATATCAAGCTAGGATTGATGAATAAGGTTAAAGAATAAATGTGTTTCAAAGAGATATGTAGACAGGATCACAACAAGGAGTGAGGAGAAAGGAGATAAGGCAGTTGTTGCTTTATGATGCAAAGACTGTAGAAAGATCTTCTCTATTTGGGTAAGAAATGTTAGATAAGCTGTTAAAACTGATGTGATGCCTGATGACACTGAGGACAACAGAGTGGTGGACTCATTTCTATCTTGAAAGAGTGGCCAACCAAAAGGCCAACCTTTTACAACTGTAATCTCTTCACGCAAATATAAATTTATCCACCCTAAGTAACCATTCACCATTTGAAGGTGGGACCAGAGATGTCCAGTACTTGGCAATGAAACTCCCAGCCGCATTTAAAAAACAAGGTTTATTTTTCAAAAGACATAATAATTTTGAAGAACATACATTAGCTAGGAGCTATTTGCACGTTAAAAACAGATTTATAAAACAATGATTGTTACTTTCACCAAATTTTCACTGGTGGTGAATTACTCCCTGTAATTCAAAACATGTGCACTAAGAATACTCATGTGCAGTGAATGTTTAGTTAATGTCACATTCACTGCTTTATAAATACTGAATGTCCCCAGCTGTTTATGAGTTCCCCATGTCTCTACCATTCATACAATTGCAGAATTAAATGCATTAGGACTTGTGTGTTTCCTAACAGAGAATCTCTGAATCAAAAATAAAAACGTTTCGGCTATTCTTGAAATCTCACATATTTTATGTTCTTATAGTTTAATGATTAATGTGGTAAACAGGTTTTGCCCACCTACAGCACTGAGCAAACCCTTTGGCACTATATAAACTCGATGTAATAATAGGTTGGTTTCGTCCTAAGTTGGGTTTTTCTTTTTTTTTGTGTGTATCTTGAATATGTTTGTGTTTATATTTATATTATTTTATCGGTTGCATTTCAACTGTGTGGATTTGTTTCTTCCTTCGGTCAATGGCCATGCTTGCCTGACTTTTGTAACTCCTTTATTTATTCTAATTTTTTGGTAATTCTTTTATTTATTTATATATTGCCAGGGATTACATAGTACAATATATGCAGAAAAAGAAGACCAAATGGCATGTAATTAACGAAGTTAAGGGTATGCAGGGGTAAACTGGAAATATTATACAACAAACTGACTTAAAGCGGAGCGCCAACCAAAAGGGGAAGTTCCGCTTTAAGGACAGCTCCCCCGCTCTCCATTAAGGATTGGCACCTTTGGGGGGCGGGTACCCAAATTTGACAGGTACCCGCTCCCACTTCAGGTCCGATCACCCTAGGCGATCGGAAGTGGAAGGTGTCCTCCCTTCCTCCCTATAGTCTTTTGGGACACGTGACAGGTCCCAGAAAACTACAGGACCATTCATGAAGCGCAGTGCTACTCGTACATGCGCAGTGGGTACCCGGCTGTGAAGCCACAATCTATCACAGCCGGGTGCTCACACTGAAGATGCCGGCCTCCTGGAATACAGGACGGCCGGTGAAACAGGCTGCAGGGGACACACCGCGGGACCGGTAAGTGGCAGTTTTTTAAAAGTCAGCAGCTACAGTTTTTGTAGCTGCTGACTTTTATTTTTGAGTGGAACGCCACTTTAAAGAATGAAAGCAAACAAACAAAAAAAGAGCTCTGCAGTCAAGAACCAAGAGGACGCATGCAGTTCTACACTTCTGACAGTACACTGTACATGACCGATAAAGGAACAAAGAGAAGCGGTTTTTGGGGAACATAAAGGAAGCCTCCAGCAGGAAGAGATAAGGTAATTAAAACTGCTTTCTATGTTACCCCTAGTCAAAAAAAGCATTTAATCCTTGCAATGTGGGGGAGCCCCAACTCTTTATTTTACCCAGAGTTCAGCTATAATACCGACTTATTATATTTAGCAATACTGCCGACACAGCCAGCAGAGGGTAGAACAGTGGAAGTGACACTGTCCTAAAACTTAGTATAACTACAGGCAAAACATTTTTATTAGTTTTGGATAGAGTAAAAAGGGATTAGAACTCTTGTCAGTTTTTTTCTGTCTGTGTCCCTGTTAAGGAGATTCAATCTCTCTTTTTGTCCTTTTCACCATTACTATTGAAAGGAAAAACACAAATTTTGGGTTGTCCCAGAAAAGATAAGAGGGGAACTCTTTCAGTGGGGACACTAGTTATAGTGACCAGGGGGTCCTCAAAGAATTCCCTTTATTTGCAGATATTTCCTCTCACTTCCTGTTTGGCTATGGGAAAGGAAGTGAAGGGAAATCTCTGCAATGGGACACAGATGAAAAACATTCTGCCAGGGGTTACCAAAAAGGTTTTGCTTTTAGTTCTACATTAAGGCAAAAGTAAAATCCATACATTTCATGAAGAGCAGAAAAAGTACTCACCTAAACGTTTTCACCAGGTTGTGCAATTCTTTAGATACATCACTGTATGCAATCTGAAGAGGCACCAAAATAGCAGGAAGTCTGTAAAGAAGAAAAAAAAGTAAGCATTTTACATCACCTATGGTGAATATTATACAGATCTCTATTTTTATATCAAAGTATCAATCAGATAAAAACGCCTAACTGCTGCAAAACAATGACTTTCAGGTTTCACAAATCTACTCACACATAGAATGATTACTGCCAGGAAACACTGTTCTGATATCAGATTTTATATATCATTTTTAGAGAATATATTAACCACCTCCCATCCGGCCGTTGTATATAAACAGCTGGACGGTGGCAGTGCAGGGTCGGGTGGCCATTTATAAATGGCCTCCCCGCCCCCTGCTTGTGCGCGCTCCTTGGGAGCGCGCAGCATCACGATTCGGTGCCTCAGGACACAGTGGAACACCGATTGTCGTACAGGACCTCTGTGCGAGGTCCGGATCATGTGATCACTGATTGGCCAATCAGTGATCACATGCAGAGTAGTAAGCAAGATGTCACTTCAAACATCATTGCTTACTACGTGTGAAATCTGTGAATGATCACAGAGGTCCCATGGTACAAGGCTATTCACAACAGCCTTGTATCATGTGACAAGCTGTGACCAATCACATCTCACACAGTAGTTCTCAATGGATGCAAGAATACATCTAGAGAGAAGGAGAAATGATTGCGTTTACAGCCTTTATGGGTGTAAAAGCAATCAAGTAAAAAAAAATCTTCATCACCCCCCACAAGTAGTACAGTGTCACCATGGTGACACTGTACTGCTAGGGTGACAGTATGTAAAAAAAAAAAAAAAAAAAAAAAAAAAACCAAATAAAATAAAAAAAATAAACTAATTTAGGTTAATGTTTTTTACTAAAAAGATAGCTGAATACATTTTGGCCAAGATGTATGAAGAAAGATTATTTATTTGCAAAATTTTATAAGAAAAACACTTTTTTTCAAAATTTTTGGACTTTTTCATTTACATAACAAAAAAAAAAAATAAAAATCCCAGTGGAGAATAAAAACCACCAAAATAAAGCTTTATCTGTCTCAAAAAAATTCAAAAAAATTCATATGGGTACAGTGTTGCATGCCCACACAATTGTCATTCAAAGTGTGATAGCACTGAAAGCTGAAAATTGGCCTGGACAGGAAGGGGGTAAAAGTGTCCGGACTTGAAGTGGTTAAAGGGCAACGGTACCTTTAGTGCTCCCTGAAGGCAGCCTGAAAAAATGCTTAGATGTCTTTCGGCTCCAGCAATCTTCACTGTGTGGGCCAGCCCAGTGCTGTACAACTTTTTCTCATAAAATGTCCCCACCAGATATACCTTTTAGTGCACATGCATGCCACAGCTCCATTCATTCCTAAGGGTGGGCTGTATTGTGCTGGACAGCTAGGGTACTGCTCACGAACAGGAATGAATGGGGTTGCATCAAACATGCCCAGCAAACAGGGGTACTTGGGAGAGTTTTTACTGCAAAGGCTATATGGTGCTGAGAAGTGAAGACTGTTGGAATGGCGAGTATTTTAGAAGGTTGCAATGCAGGGACATTGGGGGAATTACACTCACATATCAAAAAGATGGAATGGAAAGCATGGATGTACAAAGCCTGCATTTGCAGGTTTAAGGCTTTTAAGAAAACATTTTTATCATTCCTTTAACTACATTGGTATTTTAAATTTTCCTTCACAAAAGGTTTTACTGAATTTTATAGGTCACAGAGGTGTCACAGACATCCATGAAAAACAACATATTCAGAAAAGAAGGTATATGGGCCAGTTCACACTACATGCATTTCAGTGTGCTTTTTTTCTGCATCCAAAATGCACAGAAAGTAGGTTATATAGTTGACAATGTCATAATTCACATCAGTGTTTGCAGTTCCAGTGCGTTCCAGATGCAGAAAATAAAAGTAGAACAGGCTGCATTTTTCCTGCATACAACTATACTGGAACATGGTAAAAAGCTTAAAAAATGCACTGGAACGCACCAAAACGCACATGTCCCTATTTAGATTGAAGAAAAAGAGTAAAAGATGAACTGGAATGCACAAAAAATGCACATGTCCCTATTTAAATTGAAGAAAAAGAGAGTAAAAAATGTACTGGAGCGCACCAAAACGCATATGTCCACTGCAAAAACGAACCGGAAAGCGCCAAAAACGTGCATGCAGAAATGCATCTGGAACGTATCTGGACTGCGTTTCTATAGTGTGAACCGGCCCAGTGTTTTCCATGTATTCCAATGGCCCTAGTTCACACCAGTGCAGTCAGTTCCAGGTACAGAAAAAAAGGAGAACGTGCAGTATTTTTTCTGCACAGAACTGTACCGGAACATAGCAAACTGCATCAAAACTGCACCGGAAGAGAGTATGGTGTGAATTGTAAGCAAAAACGTATCTGGAATGCATCCGGAGTGTGTTTTTGTGGTGTGAACTGGCTCGAATAGTGACAAACACAAGCTTGTCATAATATGAGGAGGTTCAGGAGGCTGACAATTATTGATAATATGGTTGGCCAAGAGAGGGAGTGAGGACATTAAGTTGAAATGGAAGGACCACTTGATGACACAATTTACGAGGGATCGGATCGCCAATAAATTTAGTTTTATGACGGGTAGGGAGGAGTGGACAACAGGATCACAAGGAATGGGTAAAGGTGGGGTGGTACTTGAAAATTCCAAATACACACATTGGTAGTTTTGACCTCTCACTGACTAAGAAATTAGGAAGGCTGTTCCCCTTCTGCTATTCTGACTGTTGTACTGATCCAAAACCTTCAGCAAACATACAGTTCTAACTTCATTATGCTCAAGAATGTTCTAGGTCAGAAAGATGACGCAGAACAGATTTTTTTCTTGCACCTACTGGAGTATGTAAGGTTGGAGTATTAATTATATAGGTAAAAATGTTAAAAGATAAAATGCTTTTTTGCAACTTTGGAGAAGATTTATTGAAACTGGAGCTCTAAGAATCTGGTGCAGCTGTGCATGGTAGCCAATCAGCTTCTAACTTTCAGTTTTAGCAATAAAACCCGGACGCCGATTGTTTTTATGCAGAGTTGCACCAGATTTTGCACTCTACAGTTTTAGTAAATACCCCACTTTTTGTTACAATTTGCCTTTCTTGTACACTCTGCAGTCATATATGATTTTCCAAAACGGACAAAAAAAATATCAAACATGGCTTTCATGTAGGTGGGGGGCTCTCTGTTCCTCTCAGTAGATTTTCTCTTATTAAGATCTTGAGACTGATCCTGCGACTGAAACACTAATAATTATTCTGTAGTTAGATCCCTCAGCTGATAAGGGCATTAAACCTACAGCATTTAACATCGCCCCATTATAAATGTATAATAAAAAAACAGTGAAAAATACATACTGGGTTACAATTTTGAGGGTCATCCATAACAAAGAGTTATACTCTGCTAGGTCACCTACACCATGGCCTGCATATTATTTCCCCATTTATAAAATGCGGGCTGTGGTATGGCATCTGCAGTGCCTCATGGGGTTCCCCCTGCTTATTGCAACTGAGGATGTTGTGTGATTGCAGTAGAGCCAGTCATGTGCCTTGAATTAGTTAAATGTGTGGTATCTTTTTTTTTTTGTAAAGTAGCAGTATGGAGGGCCATACTGCTGCTTTAAAAAAAACGTACCCGTTACTGATGACTGTGATCTGTATTACTTTTAAATGAACATGTCTGCTGATTAATTTTTACACTGCAAAATATTTTGGTTACATTCCTATAGCTTTAATGATGATGATTAAGTCTTAAAAAGTACTACAGTACAACAGAATAGTTTGTATAGAAGTATCAGCATTAACACACATCTGGCTGATATGCTGAAGAATACTGCTGATAACTGGGTATCATCCTCAATAGGTAATAACACCAGGGACTGTTGATCCAGGGAATATCTGATTGCCTCCTGCAACAAATTGGATCATGCTTTAGTCTTCTGTCACACCAAATCACTTTGAAATTGTGTGACTTCACTTGAATTCGTGCGATTTCAAAGTCGGCTGTCAGTCTGACTTCAGGTGCGGCTTCATGCACAGATGTCTCTGCAAGTTGTACCTGAACTTGCAAAAAGTAATGCATGAAGTACTTTCCAAATCGGTGCGACTCCGGCGGAGTTGGAATCGTGCCAATATAACAGCTTCCATTGCGGACAATAGGGTGCGACTTGCCATGCAATTTGAAATGAACAAATCGCACGACAATTCGCACTGGTGTGATTGGGGACTTATTGGGCTTTTTTGCCTTCCTTTGGATCAATTATGGGTATGGGATTGTGTATATGGAGGTTTTCTTTTGTTTATTTTTTATACTGGTTGAACTAGGTGGACTTGTGTATTTTTCAACCTGACTAATTTTGTAACTAGTTATAGTTACTAACAAAGTATAAAATGTATTCAATGACATTTAAACCCCGGTCACATCAAGCCCGACTTTGAAATTCAAAGTCGAGGACATGCTGATTTCAGGTGCAATTTGCAAGACATCTGACACAGATGTCTATGCAAATCTCACCAAAAGTAGTGCATATAATACATTAGGAATCGGTGCGGCTCCGACCAAGTCTGAACCGTACCTATATGACTGCTGTAATTGCGGACAATAGGGTTCGACTTGGCATGCTATTTGCAAATCGCATGCCAAGTTGCACCCAATGAGACCAGGGTATTACAACCATAAAACAATACATTTACATAAATATCTAAATTTCTTATAAACCACCTTGTGTTCACTTCTCATTCGTGCTATTCACAATATTTCTGTATAATCTCTGCAGTTTGATTTTAACGTTTTAAAAGTGTAGTCAGTTGCTTGCTGAAGCCAGACTTGGGGAGGGTGATAAAACAACTTAACACCCAGAGGCCTGAAAGATTAGATGACGTCCTTCAAGCTTGGACATAGTAATACTGATACTAACAACTTTGCTGGGCTTCCCTTCCAAAACTGTGGTAATATTACTTCATATTACCCCATTGTACAACTGGCTCAAAAACTAGCATAACCTGGCTCTGGCATTGTGACGTTTCGGGAGCAGGTCCAGTGTAACACTCTAAAGGGAGATCCATGTTCAGATCGCTCCTCAAAGAACATTTGACAGGTGGTGAGGAAGCATTGTATTGCCTTCTCACTGCTTGTTTTAACCTATAAAACCTGGTACTAGAGTATCGCAAACACGTGCATTGCATACAGTTGAATGGGTTACGATCAGCAGACGGTGCTGCCCACTGAACGTGGCAGTGGGGATCATTTTTTTCATCGCAGCCACAGCATATGCACCCCCTCCTCCATTGCCTTTGCAGAATATGGGGGAATGGTTTGGCTAGGCATTTTTACCCCCCCAAACACAAGTGTAAGGCAGAGTCCTGATATATATGTTTAATCCAGGTCAGTGCTTTAGAACATACAGAACTGCATGATAGCTTCCTTTAATACTGCACAAAAACACAGCAGAAAACTTACACTTTTTTCAGCTTCTCTAGTACAATTCGTCTGCGAATTTGCTGCTGAGAACAAGAATCTACAAGAGGCAACGGTGGAGCCCACGGAGCCTCAGCCTGGAAAAAAAAAAAAAAAAAAAAAAAAAGCATAAAACTTGTTTAGAAAATAAAAATTGTCGGCATGGCTGAGAAAGTAAGGCTGGAAAACAATATTGTTTACTGAGCAATAGCCTACATGTAATGGAACTGAAAAAGTGCCTTGGAGAGGCTATGAAATGTCTTCAAAATTAAAGAAAAAATATGGATCAATGTGACCATCTACTACCATGATATACCATGACCTGTATAAACGAGAACTTTCATAAACAGCATACCAGTGGATATAAAGTCTACACACCCCTGTTAAAATGCCAGGTTACTGTGATGTAAAAATTGAGACAGAGATAAATCATTTCAGAACTTTTTCCACCTTTAATGTAACCTATAAATTGTATAACTCAATTGAACAACAAACAAATCTTTTAGGTGGGGGAGAGTAAATGTAAAAAACGAAAATAATACGGTTGCATAAGTGTGCACACCCTTAAACTAATACTTTATTGAAGCACCTTTTGATTTGATTCCAGCACTCAGTCTTTTTGGGTATGAGTCTATCAGCGTGGAACATCTTGACTTGGCAATATTTGCCCACTCTTCCTTGCAAAAACACTCTAAATCTGTCAGATTGCGAGGGCATCTCCTGTGCACAGCCCTCTTCAGATCACCCAACAGATTTTCCATTGGATTCAGGTCTGGGCTCTGGCTCGGCCATTCCAAAACTTAAATCTTCTTCTGGTGAAGCCATTTCTTTGTTGATTTTGATGTATGCTTTGGGTCGTTGTCATGCTGAAAGATGAAGTCCTCTTCATGTTCAGCTTTCTAGCAGAATACCAAAATTGACTGGTATTTGGAACAGTTCATAATTCCCTCTACCTTAACTAAGTCCCCAGTTCCAGCTGAAGAAAAACAGCCCCAAAGCATGATGCTGCCCCCACGCTTCACTGTGTGTATGATGTTCTATTGGTGATGTGCAGTGTTGTTTTTGCGCCAAACATATCTTTTGAAATTATGGCCAAAAGGTTCAACCTTGGTTTCATCAGACCATAACATATTTTGCCACATAGGAGACTTCAGATGTGTTTTTGCAAAATTTAGCCAGGCTTTTACGTTTTTCTTCGTAAGAAAAGGCTTCTGTCTTGCCACTCACTCTACCCCATAGCCCAGACATATGAAGAATACGTGAGATTGTTGTCACATATACCACACACAGCCAGTTCTTGCTAGATATTCCTGAAGCTCCTTTAATGTTGCTGTAGGCCTCTTGGCAGCCTCCCAGACCAGTTTTCTTCTAGTGTTTTCATCAATTTTAGAGGGACATCCAGTTCTTCATAATGTCACTATTGCGCCACATTTTCTCCACTTGATGATGACTGTATTCACGGTGTTCCATGGTATAGCTAATGTCTTGGAAATTATTTTGTATCCTTCTCCTGACTTGATACCTTTTAACAATAAGATCCCTCTGATGCTTTGGAAGCTCTCTGTGGACCATGGCTTTTGCTGTAGGATGCGACTAAGAAAATGTCAGGAAAAACCTACTAGAACAGCTGGACTTTATTTGGGGTAAATCAGAGGCACTTTAAATGATGCAAGGTGTGTACTGACAACTATTAAACATTTAAACATGATTTTGAATGTTATTGCTTAATTCTGAACACAGCTACATCCCCAGTTATAAGAGGGTGTGCACACTTATGCAACCACATTAGTTTAGTTTTTTAACGTTTACTCCCCCCCCCCCCCCCAAATATTTCAGTTTGTTTTTCAATTGAGTTGTGCAGCTTATAGGTCACATTAAAGGTGGCAAAAGTTCTGAAATTGTTTATCTTTGGCTAATTTTTTTACATCACAGAAACTAGACATTTTAAACAGGGGTGTGTAGATGTTATAACCCCTGTACATGCAGTTTGCTTCTTAACCTATACTTACATGATATGTGGCTTGTTGTGTTACAGTTTTAGAAGGTAAACTTGTCATTTCACAATAAACATTAATTAAAGTAAATGAGAAACAGTTGGAGGACAGATACATTTAATGGCACATACTAGGAAATGCCTTCAAGGCACTCCTAAAATTACAAAGTCTCAGGCCACCATACTTTGGAATTGCCAAATAAAAGTCCTAAAACTGACCCCTATTTTGGGGTTACCATCGCAACACCAAGAAGTTACCTCTTTTCCCAGGATAACTTTGCTAATGACCCTAAGGTGGCAAAGGGGAAGTTAAGGACAGAAGAGAAGTATCATAGTTAGGAGACTTATCATTATGCTTTCACTATCATCCTTTCAACATCACAAAACATCATTGCAAGCAGCATTTAACTCAAAGCCACAAGAACATGCTTACTTGAATAAGACCCAGCATCATGGTTCAAAAGAAGATGTATCTAAACCCCCAAAAACATAAAATGAGAGGAAAATGTATCTTTACTAATCTCATCCTTTGCAGAATACCTTGTGCTATAAATCCAAATAATTATTTTGATTACTAATTTCAACAGTTCATCTTTACAATTTCCTTACATTATCCTAGTACTGCATATTGTATCCTTTCAAGAATAACTTTCCCCACAATATAGGCAGTGCATCAACCCTGCAATATCATTTTACTTCTATCAACTCACATTGGTTGCACCAACGTCTAGCCCCATAAAATGGGGTATGGGGAATCTTTCAAAATACTGACAAGCACAGCAGAGGAAGCAGTGATGGTGAGCAACATAAAAACAATATAGTGGTGGATCTTCATTAATGAACTATATAGGTATGTACTGCTGTATATTAGAACTGCCAAGCAAATTCCATGAAGAAAGGAAAGAAAAGGTTTTAACAATAATGCTCATGTATATCTTTTGGTAATGAACCACACAATACCAGACTCAGATAAGAATTCTGAATTCTCTGTCTTGTTTAAGACTCAGCACTAACCTTTTTTGAAGCACTTTTGCCTTCTTTTAACTTTCCATTTTCTACCTCTTCAGGCAAAACATAATGTCCTCTAAAAAATTCCTGGACTCGAAGTTCCATAAGTTTGGTTTCTTCCTGAAGTTTGGCAAAATCTGGAAGAGCATTAGATTCATCATTGTCATTTTTGAAAGGTAAACACTCATTCAAACGTGCAGAATTTGTATCCTTAATGGCTTCAAAGCTAATGTCATCTTCATCCAATTCCTCAGTCTGGTCACTGGCAATAGGAACCTCTTCCTTGGGGACTGGAGGTTCTATTACATAGCTGGTTCCAAAGAAATATTTCACAGTCTCTTCTGATTTCCACCCGTTTAGTGTCTGTGTGAGGATGTCAAGCATGCTCCCTTTGACTGTCACTGGAGGAATTTTGTCTTTTAGTGCTGTCTGAGAACTTCTGGACTTTGAGATTAATCTTCGGAGATGCTCAGCACCAGTTTTGCTTACAGCTCTCTGAGTCACACAAGCAGTGTCCACCATGGCGCTTCCTGTAGACTGACCATCCTCTGTAATGTTGACTATGGCCTTTTTAGTAGCTTGGCTGAAGTCTTTTTCCTTACAATCAACTGTCCTTTCATGATCATTAATACTGCAAGTATTTAATCTTTCTGCAATTTCTGACACATTCTGTTTTATATCTACAATGTCAGGAGTTTCATCTTGCTGTGCATTAAGAAGACTTCCCCGTACTGATCCAGAGTTGTCAAAACTTGGTTCTGTGGTTGATATAACAGTGGACACAAAGGCCTGCTCTTGCTGACGGTTATCTGTCTCATTGTCAGAAGAGCTAGAGTCACCATCTTTTATCACGCGTTTAGGTTTCTCAATTTCTGCAGATCTGATGAGTCTGTCTGCTAGTTTGATTTCCTCTCCAGAATGGCCACTGAAATAAATATACAATGCGGCTGTTAAAATTTCTATATTGCAGTGTAACATTTTGCTATAGAGACAAAGATTTAAAAGGAATCAGTAATGGCAACATGAACTGAACATTAAACAATAAGTCCATCTTTTGTAAACAAACTAAATATATATATATTATATACACACACATACACACAGTATCTCACAGAAGTGAGTACACCCCTCACATTTTTGTAAATATTTTATTATATCTTTTCATGTGACAATACTGAAGAAATGAGGGAACCATGAATGCCAACATGTACTGTGACATACTGAAACAGAGCATGATCCCCTCCCTTCAGAGACTGGACCGCAGGGCAGTATTCCAACATGATAACGACCCCAAACACACCTCCAAGATGACCACTGCTTTGCTAAAGAAGCTGAGGGTAAAGGTGATGGATTGGCCAAGCATGTCTCTAGACCTAAACCCTATTGAGCATCTGTGGTGCATCCTCAAACAGAAAGTGGAGGAGCGCAAGGTCACTAACATCCACCAGCTCCGTGATGTGATGTCGTCATGGAGGAGTGGAAGAGGACTCCAGTGGCAACCTGTGAAGCTCTGGTGAACTCCATGCCCAAGAGGGTTAAAGGCAGTGCTGGAAAATAATGGTGACCGCACAAAATATTGAAACTTTGGGACCAATTTGGACATTTTCACTTAGGGGTGGACTCACTTTTGTTGCTAGTGGTTTAGACATTAATGGCTGTGTGTTGAGTTATTTGAGGGGACAGCAAATATATATATTTTATATCTTTTCTGCAAGTAAAAAAAATGTGCAGTTATTTTTTTTACTCTGCAGTCTGTAAACCATTGCATCCGGATCCTGCAGACCCTTAGTAAGCTGTCCTGCCCGTATCTCCTATGGGCAGGCAGTTACTGAACTGCAGGAAGATTCAATGATCTAGGAGAGATTGAGAACTATAAGCTGCCGTCCATGACATAGCTCTCTGAATGAATGAGGCAGCCGTGTGGGTAAAGCCCTGCGTGACCGCGCTCTCTTAAAATTGTGACAGTGGGTGTAAGATGAAGATCCTAGCCTGCTGTTACGGAGGGGAACGTTATTTGGAAGAAGAAGGTACAGGAGGTCAAACATGTTACATGTTCTAAGCTAAAAGCGGGTGATTTGTTTTAATCTTCTCTCCAATATTAAGATCCTATTTGATGTGTGACAGATTCAAGTGCAACTAAACACACCAGTTTAACGGTTTCACAATACAGTTACATTCAAGGCATGACTTGAATGATAACTGTTAGAGTTACTAGTATGCTTATGTTAGCTCTACAACGTACTGTCAAGCAATCAAATGGCTGGTGTCAAGCAATCAAACGGCTGGTGTCATAGCTGTAATCAAGTAACACCAGCTTTCAGGTCAAATGCAAGTTAGATAGAGGCTAACTGCAGGTCAAATGCACCTATCAATGAATTCTGACTGGTCTCAAAAGCATCTCAAACTGATGTTAAGCTGATGCCATTGACACAGACTTAAACTTCATGTACATGAGCCTACCCTGACCACCAACCACAGGAAACAGCAAATGGCGGCAAAATCACGGCAAAACGTGGCAACTGCGGTACCGTGTTTTTGCCGTGTTGCATTTTCCTGTGGTCAAAACGTTCTTATACTGAACGCGATTCTTCCTCATTCAGGAGAGGGAGGTTTAACCTCACCTAAACGTGGCAGCTCCTAAACTCTGCTAAAAGCCTATTTGTGCATGGACACAGGCTTTCATGGAGTTGAGTTTAGGAGCTTTGGCAAAAAAAATGCCAAAAGCTCCTAAAAACTTGAGTTTAAGAGCTGCTTGTGTACATGAAGTCTTAGGCCCCATGTACACGGGACGTTTCTAAATGATGGAAACGGATTGCTGGAAAATGGTTAAAAAATGTTTGTTTAGCTGCGTTTGCATACCGTATTTATGTTTAGAAGCATTTTTTAAAGATAAGCACAGGAGAACCTCCCAATTGCCCAAAATGAACTGAAAAGTGGTAAATTATTAACTATTTCAGACTGTTTCAGAGAAATACAGAGAGTAGAAGCAGACACAACAGCATGTGTTCAGATTAGCTTAGGTGTGAGTTGCTCATTAACATCTCTTATTTCCAAGGGTGGGAAAAATGTCTGGTGGAGTGAGTCATTAAGGCTACCTGGCAGGGGGTCTTCATGAGGAATTTGAGGTGTGAATGGTTATTAACATATCTTTTGTTTCCAAGGGTGGGAGAGGTCTGAGGTGTGAATTTGTCATTACAATGTGTGACAAGCTTGGTAGGAACATCCTGTGTTCAGTGTTTTGTCCATCGGAGTACCTTGAAAATGCTTTGCATGTATTTTTCATGATGAAAAAAGGCTCTGGACAGCATCGGGAATTGGAAGAGTTAAAAAAAATTTAAAACGCAAATGTTTTGAAATGCGATTTGCCACGTTTAGCGTTTGAAAGGCTGATAAAATCGACTACTGAGCACATGTTTTCTGCGTTCAAAAAACGACTGTAAACGAAGATGTGTACATGGACAATAGGAAAGCATTAGGGTGAGTTCAGGGGCTGCTGAAAAAAACGCTGAACAGCTCCTAAACGTGAGTTTATCAGCTGCAGGGTACATGAACTGTGTTTGTCATAGTTAAACTGCTGTGCAGTACATAGCAAAATCCAGGCTTAACACTGCAACAAAAGTAACAAAGTGGACTTGATATGATCACTAAGCTAAAGGCAATCACAACAATGTATGATAAGGTCACCCTAAAATGCTTTAAGAGGGTGCATCCGAGCACAATAGCTGTGTTGCGTGTTGTATTTTAGGGCAGTGCATTCGTTTCAATGGGCTGCCCTATACACAAGACATGCAGAACAAAAGTGCAAGAACAATTTTTAAAATTGTGCAGCACCAAAAAGCATGGTACTGCATTAATGTGTATTTTGGCGGGTGTGAATGGATGCTCATTTGCAAGATGCGTGAGGGTGCCATTAACAATTATAGGCACCATTATAATGGTGCAGGAAACAGTCAGGATTGGTGTGCCGTATATTAAAAGGGCAGAGGGACACTTACACTGGGAAACATAAGGAGAGAGAGAGAAGAACACAGTGACATGGTGAAGAATGCTTATTGAACAAGGGAATAAAATAGCAAGGTATTTCACTCACACTCAATTCTGTGCAGTAAGCAGCAGGTTTATGAACCCTGCTCCCTCTGCTTGAGGCCCCCAGCACTGGAACCAGGAGGAAGGTTCAGAGGGATAGACTAATCAGATGGGTGCAAATCACCTTCCTTCCATCTCCTCCACACAGAACTCTGCCCACCACCATGCATGTCACAAGGCTGTTGCTAGTGATGCGTTTTGGGGACATTCCTCTGAGTCCATTGCTCCAACCCTTCCTGATTCAAAAGCCAGTGGCCACAAGCAGAGAGATGAGGTTTCAGGAGCCTGCAGCTTACACATTTAATGCACAAGGTTTTAAGAACATCAATGCAATACCACATTGTATTTTTCCTGATAAAGGAACTCCACTTTGGTTGAGAGAAAAAAGCAATCCCTCTGAATGATCGAAGTATTGAAACAATCTTTGTTGCAGTGTCCTATTTCTGCTCTGAAGTGGCTTGCTTGATCATGTCTTATGCAGGGGCGGACTGACCATTCGAGCACTTGGGCACTGCCCTAGGGCCCAGGGTCTGTAAGGGGCCCCATGAGATGCCCCTGGTACCTTTCATTTACTTTTTCATAGGCTTTTTTTGGGTGTGGGCGAGGACACAGGGGCCCCATGATCCCCTATCGCCCGGGGGCCCCATGAGTTGTCAGTCCACCCCTGGTCCTATGCATACTTGTTCTGAAGAGGAGGGTTTAGTTCATTATACTCAGCTGATGCACTTTCAGTGTCCAGAGAAAAGTTGCAGTGTCTGCATCCATTTAGATATAATTAACCCTTATGACATTTAGGTTGTAGGGAATGCCTAAAAATGTACTTGTTAAATCACAATATGGTTTATGTAGCATTGTATACAATGTGGTGTCAAAACGTTTCCAGACTAGTTTTGTAACATGCCAACAGATGGCAGCACAAGGCTGCACTCACGGTCACAAGGAGTACCAACCTTCATAAGTCAGTGTGCCAAAAGACATTGTCCTGTGTACATCGGGAGCTGTGCAACTGCAGCTATTCTGACCACGTGCGTTACCACATCTGCTATTTCACCATGTACAGAAAGTTAGAACAAGAGCAAATGTAAATTCTCTGTGAAACTGGGCAAATCTGCCACAGAGACTTTTGACATGATTCAGCAAGTTTATGGCGATGCTGCAATAAGTCATTCAAGGTGTTTTGAGTGGCAAGTGCACTTCAAGAGTGGAAGAACATCACTGGAAGACGAGAGATCAGGAAGACATTCAACAAGCTCAACTCTTGAAAATGTCACACCGTTTCGGCAACTTGTGCATGATGATCGTTGGAGAACAATCCATAACATTGATGGCATTGTAGGTGTGTCATAAAGAACAGTCCAGGTCATCCTCACGTGTGATTTGAATATGCACCTGGTTGCTGCAAAGTGCATCCCCAGGCTGCAATGGTCACACTTCCACACCTACCCTACTCGCCAGATTTGGCTCTTGCAGACCTCATTCTCTTCCGGAAGATGAAGACCCAGCTCAAAGATTACCATTTTGACAACATTGTAGAGATCCAGCTTGAATAGCAGAAGGTGCTTGACACGATTAGAAAAGAAGACAAAAAAGACTTCCAGTACACATTCTAGAAGTGTCAGGAACTCTGGGAACGCTGTATTGCTGGGCAAGAGGACTATTTTTAAGGGAATAGTGTGTAAATGTAGATAAAGTACATTCTTGTAAACAGAGCTAGGTCACAAAACCTTTTGCTACAACCTCATATACCATATTAATTATTAAGTATTATTACTTTTTTTGCTACTTTTTGCACAAATTAGGAATTACCCTTTAAAAGAAGATTTTTACATCATGCCAGCG